AGAATAAAATCTTATAATTTGCAAGTAAATGGATGGAAATGGAGAACATCATTCTGAGCAAGGTCAGCCAGGCTCAGAAGACCAATAATCGTTATGTTCTTCCTCATATGTGGACTTTAGATCCACATGTGATTGGACTTTGGTCACATGATAAGGCAAGAGCACACACAGGAGGTATGAGCATAGGTAAGAAACCCAAAAAACATGATAGTATTTGATGTCCTCAATGGAAAGGAACTAATGCAGAAACTTTAAAGTGACAGGGGCCAATAGGAGAAGGGGATCAGGAATTAGTTCAAGAAGAATCAACTTAGAATGTAACACATTTGTACATGGAAGCAATGCTAGGAATCTCCCTGTATAGCTATCCTTATCTCAACTAGCAAAAATGCTTTGTCCTTCTTATTATTGTTTATACTCTCTCTTCAAAGAAATTAGAGATAAAGGCAGAACAGTTTCTGCCTGGAAGCAAGGGGGTGGGGGCAGAGGGAGGGGATGGGGGGTAGGGGGGACAAATGACCCAAACATTGTATGCATATATGAATAAACCAAAAATTTATGCTGAGCATTCATTTATAAAATATTAATAATAAGAACTTAGGTAGGAAAAGGGGGAGAAGAAAAACCTAGGACATTAAGTTCATTTACATTTGTTAGGTATTATTTAAGCAACTACATTTTCTATACCAAATTTATGCCATGTCTTTTTATGCATTAATCTAATCTCGACATGTATACAATAGATTTAGATTAAGGGCTACAAGCTCAGTAGGAAAACAGTTTAACAATGTGTTTTGACTTTTTTTTTTTCATTTTTCTTTTATTATTCATATGTGCATACAAGGCTTGGTTCATTTCTCCCCCCTGCCCCACCCCCTCCCTTACCACCCACTCCACCCCCTCCCTCTCCCCCCCCTCAATACCCAGCAGAAACTATTGTGCCCTTATTTCTAATTTTGTTGTAGAGAGAGTATAAGCAATAATAGGAAGGAACAAGGGTTTTTGCTAGTTGAGATTAGGATAGCTATACAGGGCATTGACTCACATTGATTTCCTGTGCGTGGGTGTTACCTTCTAGGTTAATTCTTTTTGATCTAACCTTTTCTCTAGTACCTGTTCCCCTTTTCCTATTGGCCTCAGTTGCTTTAAGGTATCTGCTTTAGTTTCTCTGCGTTAAGGGCAACAAATGCTAGATAGTTTTTTAGGTGTCTTACCTATCCTCACTCCTCCCTTGTGTGCTCTCGCTTCTTTACATTGACTTCTTTACATTGAATAGCAAGAAACATAAAAGACAAACTTTGGAACTTTTGTTTTAACTTGACTACTTAGTCAATGGGCTTTTCTTTGGTGGACTAGTATCTGAATAAACAAGTATTTCAGTCAAGAAGATAACCATCCTTCCTGTGCAAGACCTATTGTCTTTGTTCCTCTTCTACTGGAAAATGGGGAATAGTAATTATTTTACTTCTCAAAAAAAGGAAGGCACTGATTTCACAAATAATATGTACATCTTAACAGACTTTGGTAAATTATCAAATTGCCCTCCAAAATGGACATGATCTTTCTAAAAAGCAAATATAATCATCTTATTTTCCTGACTGATTTAATCTTTTAAAGGGTCTGAACTCAGGACCTCATGTTTGCTAGGCAGGCGCTGTTACTGCTTGAGCCACTTCCCGGCCTGTCAGATTAGTACACAAGACATTTTATGATTCCCTCTCTGTTCTCTCCAGTTCATCTTATATTTTCCAGATGATATTTCACAATTCACATTCTCCAAGTGTCTCATTATTTATGGTCATTCATGTCACAGTGCTTCTGCACTTCTTTTCTGTTCCCAGAAATACCCTCCTTCCCTTTTGAGGTTAAAAAATACTTTTTCTTTTAGGATTCAGTTCATGGGATATGTATGGCCTTCCAGCTGTGAAGACAGTTTGAATTTCATTTCTTCTCCAACAGCACTGTCCAAACACTATTAATTCTTGATTTTCACCATCTGATTAAAAGTGAGACATATTCCTAAAATTTACAATTGCTTTTGGTATTCAGCTGTCATAAAAGATCCAGAAAATTGTTGACTAAGGTTTTAAGTACACCAAGTCTTCTCTTTATTCCATCCCAACAGAACCCTGCCTGTACTGTCCTTCCTGCTTCTCAAAACAAACACCAATGGAATGGCTGCATACATTTAAAAGAAAAGAGATGCAATTAGGGGTAAGTGTGGTAAAAGAAGTAAGATCACTAGGGATGTAAAGAAATTTAATACATGTTTAAAGTAGTTATTCCTTGTTTTGTGAGGAAAGTGGAATAAACTTTTTTTTTTAAAAGCTAAAAGTCAGGGTTTCTTTTTTAGTTTGGAGTCTCTTCTGTCTTTTGTTTATTCTTTCATTCACTTACTTAAGGTAGAACAACCCATGTGACTGTAGGTCATTTTAATAGTCACTTTAGTAGTGTTTCCAGGTTGGCATGGAAATGTACATCTCCGGGGAGTGCTATATCTCCTTTCTGATACATGCTGGGGTAAAGGCTGCACTGGCTTTAGTGAAATAGAGGAAATCTTCCACCCTTCCACTTTACTCAATTTACACAAGATACTTTTTGATAGAAAAGAAATCCCATTTGGGCCTGGGTTGTGTGGCATTTCGAAAAAAAGCACTGAAATATTTCCTTCTGATCTATATGCTACATGTATTCTACTCCTCCACTACAGATCACTGCTGCATCTTGACTTCATTTTTGGTGCTTTCGATCTGACTAAAACACTTCTCCAAAATATTCAAGAAGGTTCTGCATTTTTGTTCAGCAACTTCTACGTTTTGTTGTTCTAATATAGCATTAAGGTGTTTTCTCAAAATACAATGTGATTTTAATGATACACGCTACTATTGAGATGGCCAAAAGTAGTGCTCTTTGGGCTCTTCAAAAACACACGGGTCTGTAAGTGGAACAGGCAGAAGAACACGAATGCCTGGGCACGTTTTCCAGCATCCCTATAAGAACTGCAATAACAGGAACTCACAGATGTAAGAATACGGCTGCACATCTGCCGGCATCTGGCTAATTGGGAAATGATTTAGTAAGATGAAATGGTTACTGAGTGACAAACTTTCAAGTAATGAAAGAAACTGAGAATTATGGAATTGTTTTTTGTATAAGAAAAATAATACTTTAATATTGGGAATCTAAAATATATATTACACAGATTGTATCCATCAATTAGTTCTAGCATTAATTAAAAAACCATAAAATGTAATAGAATGATAGGCAACTTTATTTAAAATACAATAGTATTTTTAAGCCTGAACATTAAAGATCAGAGTAGATAAACATTTTAACAATTTCTACTTTATTTAATGAAATTAGATGTTTATATACAAAATCAGTCACATAATTTTATTTACAAAACAAAAATGTTTTTTATTTAATGTGGAAAAATAAGAATTGTTTTGACAAATAAAACAATTTAAAACAAATTAGGACAGAATTATTTGTTTCACTGTATATTCTATTTTACATTCACAAATTAAATCAGAATGACTTTATTTGTTTCATTGTATCTTCTCATTACTTTTTGTGATCTAGTTTAACACGAACATAGATTACTTTGGTATTTGCTAAAACATAAATGCTCAGGCTCTTAAACAAAGGTTGAATTAAAAAAATAAGACTGTGTAGTAAATATTTTGGAAACTTAATGAACAAAACGAAATTGGGATAGTCACAGAGACGTTGTCATTTTTCTTCCTCTGCCCATATGAAAATATACAATAGAAAATTACCCACGGGAAAACATTTTTAATGTTACAGTTCTGTCAACTTTATTAAGAATGCTTCGTCAGCAATTACATTAAGTACTTTCACTCAGGGTTAGTACCTTTCTCTAAAATGAAAAAGAGGTAGTCTGATCTTTGTACTGAAATATTTTAAAGTATAAAGTTTTAAATGTCATATATGGAATTATATAAAAAAACTCTTTCAATATTTGAGATTTAATTTATTATATCCAAAATAATTCCTTTTTAATTTGTAATAAATTGTTGCTTAAAATTCATTTGGTTGAAATGAGTACTCCAAACAACTATTTTCATTAGCTATAACTAACAATCTTTACCTACTTTTTAATAAGGGTTTTACTTTTGAAAACAGATTCCAATGATATAGGTACATTTATAGATCCTCTCATCGCTGGCAGCTATTTGTCTCACAGGTTCTTCCTAAATGTTAGAGCAGCTACTGAAGGGAAAAAATTTAGAAATGCAACCAGGTCAAGCAAAGAAAAAAATCTTTGTATTAAATTTTTACTCATTCCAGTATAAAATGTGATTTATACCTACCTGCAATAAATTTCATGATTTCTCTGCCTGTTGTCAGCAGCTTGTTTATAACAGAGCACAGCAGTGCATGAGCTCCTATGGTGTACTTCTTACCTGTGAAGTCATCCCTGAAGTCCCTGAAAAGTTTTATATGGGAGGTCCTCTACTTGCTAAAAATAGGAGCCAAACCTTCATAATAAAAAAGATTTTGGAGAGGGATTAAAAGGAGTAATACAGATGGGATGAATTTAATCAAAGTACACTTTATGTATATACGCAAATATCATAATGAAACCCCTTTGTACAACAAGAGGTTTTCAAAGTTTCTGCATTTTAGCATTTACTTGAACGTAGCATTTAGATGAAGCATTCTCTATTAATTCAAAAGAATCTGTGATTCATTTTTATTTATGACACCAAAAGAATATTTTTCTTAAAAAAAAAAAAAAAAACTACATTTTAAGTTTCTACCTAAGTTTATTTAAGAATAGGAATGATGCTTAAAATCAACTAGCAAATCAGTGAATCCTTTCCTAGAGATGAAAAATATCAAAATTTTATTCTTTACTTAACATCTGGAAGAAAATAAGCCTGAAGTGTGTAATTTTTAGAATTATGTGAAAATAATTTTTATATGAAAAATTGCACATAGAATTTATGTGAAAGCAAAAAGTTTCATGGGGGAAATCTAATTTACAAAAATTCACATCTTTGTAAGATTTACATTTAATACAGTGCCACTACTTTATTTGAATTGTCCATGGGGGAGAAGGCTGATGGGCAGTGTAGGGGGCTGTGGTTATTGTTTGTGACCACTCATCTTTACCTTTCCTGCTTACTACTAACAAAAGTAAATTAAGATCATTACTCTTCTGTTACAGATGATTTCCTGGATTTCAGAACAAGGTCCTTGATGGATAAAGAAAGTTCCTGAAGTTCTTTACGAGTTGTATTGGTGACATTGTGTTGTTCTTTGTCTAATTCATCGCTCAAGGGATCAGCTCCCTGTCCAGTTTTCTTATTTTGATGAACTAACTGCTTTACAACCAAACCCTGATACTTTACCAAAAGAGTATGTTGATCCTGTGAAAAGAAAGGAGAAAAAAGGTAGCAAAGACAATTCAATTTTCTGTGGAATAGATAAAGTAGGATTTGTTTGACCAATATACATCGAAGATCCTCATCTTTATAAAACAATGGCCACATAAGTAGAAAGCTAAATCTAGCAAGGTCCCTGACCTCAAGGAATTTATAGATTAGGGGAAATAAAACATCTATACATAGCACTTTATAATTGTTAATTACCTAGGTTCTAATAGGAGCAAAGATATAGTCAAAATTACCAGGAGGTTCAATGCAGCCAAATTACATTTAGTTAATGGTTTGTATTTCTTAGAAGAATTTGTTTAGGACAAGACATATGAACTTGTCTTTGAAGGATAAATAAAACAGAGAAGCTAAATAGACGATTAGACATTTTTCTCTTTTATCTTTCCTGAAAGCTTAATTTTCTTTTTAGAAATATTCTTTATCATGGATCTTAAGAACCCTAAAAGATTCTTAAGCTATGCTAAACTTTAAAAATCAATCTCCTAATTCACTGTTTGCATTCTTGGAAGCAAGCAGATGATGCTAATATGTGTTGTGCTTGAGTGTTAATAATAATTCCTATCTTTCAACTCAAAATATTCAAAGTTTAAAAGCTTCAAAAGGTTTCAAATGTACTGAAAATAAAATACCTCTGGAATTTTATTATTAAGAAAAGCAATGATCTGTGGGACACATCTTCCAGGTGCATGGAGCATGCTGTGGGTTGAGAACTGAAATAGCAGAACTGACGTGAGGTGCAGAATAAGAGCAGGATCTTCTGTGACTTTTAGCTGCTCAGCTAGTGCTTGTCGATGCTGGAACAGAATCTGCCTAAAAGAGAAAATCATACGAACGCATATCTAGTACATTCTGCCAATCTCAGTTCTTCCTTTGTACTCATCTTTTTTAGTTTCTCTAGTGATGTAATTCCCTAACATTTTAAGATATTCTTAAGATATGAGATATATACACACATTCAACTCTACCTGGCAAGGGAAGACTACTATGTTAGAAAATTATAAAAAACCTATAGAGCAGGATACTCAAAATACGATTTTTGGTTTAAGTTGCTGGGGATTAATAGAATTGTACTGATTTAAGTAAGGTTTCCCATATGGAAGGTCCCAAGGAAATAAAAAGTCCTAGGCTTAATCAACTATAGGATTAAGAAACTCCACTACATTATCAAGAGGGTCAGAGAGAAATACTTAATTATATTAAGACTTTTACAATGTGTAAAGGTCTACAGTCATTTAAATACAGTTCTTTATGTAAGGTTCAGACAGTCACATTCAAATTTCACATATGAAGTGTTTCACATTTAAGTATATTCAAAACATAGATTAATTTAATGTTACCTTTCCCTTTTTTTGTCTCCCTTTTTCACCATAATATCACAAGCTTCTGCTGCAGAATCCAGACAAGAAAAAAAGTCGTCTATACTCTAAAAAGATATTTAATGCCATTATTTCAAATACAGTTGCTAAAAAGTAATACAGCTATATAGTACTGTTTTGTAATTTTGTACCCTAAATATAATTTTTAAAAAGGTCATTTTTGCCACTAAAATGATAAAATGCTCCTCGCTTTGTTTCCCCCTTCAACTCCCACAAAAGTATTTGAGTGCAGAATACTATTTTTAGATTGGGTTTACAATTATTCTGATAAAAATCTACTTTAAGATCTTTATAACATAAAGCACTAGCTGTGGTAACAAACTAAAAATCTACTTACTTTTTCATTTAGAGAGTTATGGAGTTTTGTGAGGGCTACTTTGGTTTCTTCTGACAACTTACTTAAAATTTTTTTTCTTACCTGTGAAGGAAAAAATTCTTTCAATATTGTGTTTTCAATATATGATAGACAAAAGAGCAAACAAAAACCCACATATATATTATATTACTATAATAGAATCCTAAGTAGAATGTATCTTGTTTTTGAATTTTAGATCTCAAACAAAGGATAAAATATGCTAAAAATAGTCTACATCAGAAAGCTAGCCAACAGTTAGCCAAAAAGCCAGGTAGAGTCCTACTCCTCCTTGCTGCTTCAGCAATAGAACAGGAAGACTAGAAAATCACTGACCTTGCAGGAAGTAGAGCATTGAAGTAGGAGGAAAGAACTTTTCCCTCTCTAGTACCAGCTGAGAAGGGCCTTACTTACAAAGGTCAGGGATGCCTGTAGGATGGGAGCTAGGATCTTGTTTTATGAAGCTGCTTGTTTTGCTGTATGGTATGAGGAATGTTTTAGTGCCTTTCTCCACATGTATGTGTCCTGTAAAATTTGGTGGCATTCTTGACCAGTCAAGTAGTTCCTTCTAGTGCCAAGTTTTGGGAAAACGACTGTTGAAATGGCCTGACAAGACAACCTCAGGGTATACTGTATCTGAGAAGACACGGGCAATTTAGTAAGACTCCTTGTCCCACCTTACACCAATCCTTCTATGGCCCTTTAAGGCATGGAACAAGACAGCCAGTATTTCCTACAGCAGAGCTGGCAAAGGAGCAGGAAACATGGAAGTTTCCAGATAGTTGACTGCAAAGTTAAGGAAATTGGCCAGATTATTAAGGGACTTACAATTCTACAGGGAAAGGGGAAATATGACATAGCAATAATTAGGAAAAAAACTTGCTTATTACAAGTAATTAAGTATTTTTCCTTTTAGTCATTTGTCCTATTTCCAGACCTGTGGGTAACTTTATGTACATTGTACTATACTTGAACTAGAAATCTTTTAGATTTTATTTCTAAAAAATACTCTTTCCTGCATTTTATTTTCCTTTTAACTACTTCGAATGAGAGAGAATAAAATATGATCAGACTCTCAAAACATCCAGTAGCAAGCAAATCACTAACATACATCACTTGTAATGCTTGCAGGATCATCAACTGTCATCATTAAATCAGAAGCTAAGAAGTTGAAAATGAGGTTAGTGATATCGGCACACACTGTCTTCAGCAAGTGCTTGGTAAGAGCAGCCTGTGTGTCATCTAGAAAAGAAAGGTACTTTAGTAAGACTAATTTCTTTTCAGAATTACAAGTATCAATGAAAAAACAGTGTTAAGTATACCTGCAAAAAACTTTATCCCCTTTTCAAATAACCTAATATTATTGTACAGGTTTGAAACTTCTTCTTGCAAGTCCTTGATTGTGCGTTTTCTGCCAGTTCCAGAAGCAGAAGTTGAAGACATGAATACTGAACGTACCACCTCAAGATAGGCTTTATTAAGAGGTCTGTGTACAAGACAAATATAGTTAGTTAAAATGCGCTAGATTTATATAGATAAGAAATGTTGCTTCTATTGCAGTAAGTTTAAGAAAAGATCTCTATTATTCAGACTAATAAAATTAATTTGAAGAAGAGTTTACTAAGAATTTAATCCCCAGCCACAGGAATTATAACTTAAATGGATTATTTTTCTCAGTTTTAAATACTCAAAAGTTACTGAACCACAGATGACAACAACAAACCACAAATATCAAAACTACTTTTAAAAATTAATTTGGAGAATAGCAGAGTATAAATATGTTACCCATTTTCAGGAATTACCATTTCAAAAAACCCTCTCAATTTATAAAGTACTATTTAAGGGTACTGCATTAAAAAACCCTTTTATGCTCAACTTAAATCACAATATTTAAAAAAGCAATGGCAAATGACTAGTAGTAACTATTCCATTTCTTTACATGTGAAACATGGTTCTGTAATCTATTTACGCACAAAAATATTAAATAAAACTTCTTCTTACAAAAGCTACATTTCTAAAATAAAGATGATGCCCTGTGCTTCTGGACTGTATTTGTGAAGGCTTATATCTTGGGATGTGAAAGATGATCAAGTTTGGTTAATGATGGCAAAATTATATGTAATGTTCCTTACTTCTACATATAAAGTTAGTTTGGCTCATTCACACGTATCTTAACTTATTCTTTTTTATGTCAGTTTGTTACTTATTTTTTCCCTAAAAGTAAACATTATTTACTTGCTATCAAATCAAAAGTGACTGTTCTTGCTTTTAGGTGTAATTTTTCACATTATGTAGGAGACCAGCTAGTGATTAGTCCTGGTGTTTATCTCTCCGACCAAAACTTAAGATTGTAGGATCAGTGAATGAGGATCCTCCCCGAAAGGTTCTCACCTTTTATTTTTCATGCTGTCTTTCCCAAAGTGCTTACTAAATGCTCAAATGAATAGCCTCTGTAGGCAAATAAAATCTTTGTGGTTAAATTCCAAGCTTTGAAAAGAAAAACAAAAACCAAAAAACCCTAAAACATATATTTTAGAATATCTTAGTAAAATTTTTATTTAATAACCCATTGAGATTCTATCATAAAATGGAAAAAAATATTTTCTACTTGCCTTACTAAGTATTCAGCAAGTTCAGAAATGAACTCCTCAGGTGCATCCTGTACATGTTTTCTTAAACAATCCTCAATCTCATCCTGGAACATAAAAGTGATCTCTGGCTTTTTCCTTCCTATAATAGACATAAGCAAAGGAAAAAACACTCAAAAATGAATAAATAAGCAATTACAAAGCAAATAAGGTATTACTGTATTTAATAATATGGTTATTCATTCACTGCCTACCACAGACTCTCAAATTAATTTTTATGTCAACAAAATTATTAATGCCAAATTCCAGTAACTAATAAAATTTACTTTAAAAATAAGATATATAGAATTTAAGTAGTCATATTCTAACATCATTTAAAAATGACTGTTTCTACAAATCAATCAGAAAATGTGAACAATATGTTACTCTCCTTCATCTAATTTGGATGATGCAAATAGGGGGGTACCAAATCAAGTAGACAGAAACAGTATTTTATAGGTTGGATATGTGGCTCAAGTGGAAGAGTGCCTGCCTAATAAGTGCAAAGTCCTGAATTCAAACCCAAGTACCAAGCATATTTTTCATTACTGAAATGCATATTAAGTAAAATTAAATCATTCTGTAGTTTACAATAAGATCTTCAAAAAGTTTTTATAATCATACGAACTATAACTCTAGTAAACTGCTTAAGCTAAAATGTGTCCTTTTTGGAAAGTACAGATGAAAAAAATAAAGCTTATAATTTTACACCCATAATTTACTTTTGTTTTCACAAAAATTATTCTATACTAAGGAAAAGTGATATAAGCTAATGTAGTGGAAATAACTGTAAATTGTGGAAATGTCAATGTCATGCCTATGCACTTACTTGGAAAAGTATGGGTTACAGACAAAGAAAGCTAACAATATTGCCATTACAAATTACAAAGTTATACTTTTTATACAAGTGATTATTTCCAGCTAAATTAGGTTATTGATTCTAAAAGTGAAACCATACCAATAAAAGTAAAATAGCTCAAAAATCAATTTTTAGTATGGAGAGCTACACAGTTGAAATCATAATTTTAGACAGCCAAATGCTATCCTTCTTTTCTAAGACCTGTTCTCCAACCCTAATGTTCATACTGAATAGGGTGATTTCCCTGTTTGCTTCCTGCATGCTTTTTATATGATTAAATTATATTTCCTTTCAGTAATCTTTCATACTGAGTTGATCCTATATTTACCAGAGAACCTAATTTCATCCTCCATTTCAGAGATTATAACACAATCCTTTTTCAAAAGCACTGAAATTACTTTTTAGGTAGGATGATTTTACTACTTTTATAGCTCCTCAATAATCTATGCACAAAAGGAACATGCATGCTTCATTTATTTAAGATTACAGATAAGTCTTTTATAAAATGTATCTTTACCACCATACCCAGCCCAAAAAAGTGAAAAATTAAAACACATATAAGATCATCTTAATACTATTTAAAATAAAGATAAAGCAAGTAGTACCTATGAAGGTATTTTCCTTTAATTAACATTGTTTTTTACATATTAAAATAGTAGCTATTTAACCTCTCTTAGGATATTTTAAAGATAGAACTTAAGAAACTGGGCTATATTATAAATAATAGTGTATTAATAACTGCAGCCATATCATTTGATATCTGCATCTCCTATGTAACGAACTCTGTGGAAGAGAAGTATAAATCTCATAGAACAGTCATTTGAAGACTTTTATTTTCTGGTTGCTGGGGACAAAGAGGAGGGTAAGAGCATGATTCCATTAAACTTTTTTAAACAAAAATTTTTTAAAAATCATAATTTTATTTAGAAAATATTCTGTCTCTTGCAGACTTAACCTTACCAAATACTAACAAATCTAGGAAAAGAAAGCATTTAATTAATTCTCCCCCTTAAATATAAGGAATCAATGAGTTACATATTATTGTGAAAATTAAACATGCATAAAATTATTTGGATTCGCTCCCAACATTTATTCTTTAGCATTTTAATGTCCTAAAGTATTTCAAAGAATTCTTTCAAATACAAAGTTTCTTGCCTATTTCACAAACTCTAAGAAATTTTCATCCTTTGTGTCAGAATCACTTGCTCATTCATGTCAAGTTCACCTTTACTAAGTTCCCCAGCTAGTCTCCCGTACAATGGACTGTCATCATTAACACAACCAACCACTCCTTCTATTCCTCCATCAGTATGCTTGATTCCAATTTTATTTCCAGTGTTATCACTTTTCATTTTGTTGCTGCACTTTCATCTTTGTTGGCCAATTCCCTCTAATTATTTATTTGTTTAAGAGGTCACATGGATTTATCTCTGGGAGAGACAGGCAACACAACTAAAGGTTTTGTTGTTTGTACATAAAGAATAATGAATGTGTAGTGATCAAATTACTGACAAATCTGAAAATGAGTGGCCTGATTGCCATAAATCTTGATATTCTTGTTATTTATATGATGATTGGCAGTCTGAAGAACTAGCAATGAAATTTATGCTTTATGCAATTACAGTTAACATATTAGGGTAATCTGATAACTGAAAGTTGAATTGTGTTCTTGGTGGGCTATTATTTAAACTGTAATGACTGAAATTTGTGGCCACTGAAAGTGTGCAAAGCAAGCTCTTTCTCCATAAGCACATACTGCTAATTATATGCATCTTAACCAAAATGTGAAAAAAAATCATGCAGACCCCCAAAAAAGTAAAGTAAAGCCACATACCAGTATGAGATGACTGAGACTCATCATCACTATCATCATCTTTTCTTCCTTTCTTCTTGCTTTTTTTAATTTTGTATTCTCTGGCATTGCCCCCGCCTCCTCCTCTTGCACTTCCACTGCCCTCTGGTAGAAAATGACACTAGTTAGTATTATATAACTAAATATCCATTTTTAGAAAATGATGACGTTATATTGCTGTACTTAACTTTACAAAAGAAAAATAAAAGGCAAAATAATTAAAGAAAAATTTAGATTCTTTAAGCTTGAAGTTTCTTTATTAAGATAAGGATAAATTCAACTAGTGAAGTTAATAATTAATAAGACCAATTTAAGGCTGAAAGAGCCTACCTGCTCTTCATGCAGTCTTGTCCTCCTCTTATGTCACCTGTTTTCTGTAGCTGTACTTGAGCTCTTCCTAGCCAAATTCATTCCTTTACCTTTTCTTCTGTTTCTCCAAAAGAAATGTGCCTTTTTTTGCTCATCTTTGCTACTATAGCCTCATTTTACTTCCTACTAGAATTTCATAAATTTACTTGGGTTTGCCATCTTGGTTTAAAGATTATTATGCTTGTGTACAGGCTGACCCACCAATTCAACCAGATCATGAAATTCTTGACAGCAAGCAGCACATTTCAATGTTTCTATTCTTGAGGGCACAGCAATGCTTGAAACATAGCAAGTGCTCAATACATGGTTTATTTTTTATTTGATCGTTTTTACATTTACTCACATGTGTTTACATTGTTTGGGCCACCTGACCATGAATATTAATTTGGTTATTCAGAAAAATGTATCTTTTACCTACTTGTTAATTAGAGGCTAAAAGAGAGGCACTGATTATGGGACAAATTCAAGCACTGTAAGTCAAGATGAAAAATATCACTGATGTGCTTCCATGTCATTAGGTATTCACATTTAAGGTATCTGTGCTGTAAGATACAATACTTCTCTTGGATTATATAAAAATGTTTAAATAATTTTTCTTCATAAAAAACTTTTTTCAGGTTAAAAAAAAGTGATTTCAGTAATCTAAAGCTGCTTTTCTAATTTCTAAGTAGACTTCCCTCTGATTTCATCATATTGCAGAATTTACTTTCCCTTTGCTTGTGATGGGAAAACACTATTTTCAAAAACATCCGCCTAAAATTAATGTGTTTTTAATACTTAGTCATGTTTCTTATGAAAGCATGCTCATGCTGGACATGATCCCATGAACTAAAATTACAATAGCACTACCACTGAGAACAAAGCACCGTATAACCTGTACCATTTAGAAGGAAATAAAATAGACTAGTTACATTGACATAAGCCACCAATTAAGGTGCCTTTATAAATATATCTTCAAAGAACAGAATAATAATATGCATGGCTGTGAGCATTACTAGGATTTATTGGAATAGTTAAATTCCTAGTTAAATTTCCTAGAAGAATAGAGAGAAATTTAAAAACACCATTTCAAGACTTTTGCAAGAAAAGGTTTTGACAGATGAAACTATCTTGAAGAATAAATTACTATAACAAAAACTAAGGTTTTTAGGTTTTTATAATGCATGTTTAATGTATCTGTTTTTATTAGTGAAAAATGGTGAATTTTAACCCTGATATAGTACCAAAACTTGTTCCTACTATAAAAAAAAAAACATGTATTTTTCAAATGCAAGTTACTACTATACCAATGCTACCTATAATAATTTCCAGTAATTTTACAATTAAAAAAGAAATTAAAAAATATATATCATAGGGAAATTCATTCATTCAATAAATATTTAGAGACCACTGTAAACACGCCAGGTTGTGCTCTAGGTACTAAGGATACAACATGTGGCTCCCAAACACTAAAACACCCCACAGGGCTAAAGTGATGAAAAAAAGTAATGTAAGATAACGTGACAAAAAGCAATCTTGGATCCTACTCTGATGGGCTGGGTGGGGGAGGGAGGAGGTGATCTGAGGAAGTGACATTTAAAGGTGACCTCTAAATGAAAAGAAGGAACCAGTAACTTGAAATTTGAGAGAGGCCATTACAGGTTGAGAATAACTGATTCAAAGGCCTTGAGGTAAACATGCATTTGGGTAAGTTTGAGAACAAGAAAATTAAAGTAGGCTGGAACACAGAGGGGTGAGAAAAGGATATAGGTAAGTTAGGGTTTTTTTTCCTATAAAAGAAAACAGAATACATAATCACCAACATTTCCATTTTCATAACTAAAATTTATTTGAAGATTTGATTGATATTAGTGGTTAAAATTAAAGGTAAATCAATCAAACAAAAGGTTTCTTAAAGGGGCTAAGTGCAAGTTCACACATGAGATAAAAACTCATCTTTGAATCTTCCTTGTCAATAACAATTTATTACCTGTTGCTTTCCTCCTGCGTTCATCTTTTTTATCCTTTTTATTTGTATTGGAACTTTCTAAACTGGAGACTTGTTTCAGATCTTCTTCAGTGATTAAATGTACAGGATTATTTTTCATTTCCTGAAATAAAATAAGCTTTTTTGGTAGGCAAAAATAAACATTTCAAAAGCATAAAATAAAAATTGTTTATATATTTACATTCTAATTATGCTTGCTTTTTTCACTTCATTGCTAAGAACTACAAATCTTTGTCTCACAACTACCACCCTGAGGCTGTTTCTCGTTGCTAAAAATCAGTTTTTTGTACTTATTACTAGCTAACAAGCCTATGTGACCTCTGAACAACTGATCGCGGAGCATCAGATGCGATCTTCTTCAACTGCCATTGGCTAGTTTACCACCGCTTACAGGAGTCCCTTGTCTTCTGTTTTTATGAAGACCCCCAAGACCAGTGCCACCTGGACACTTGAGAGTAGGAGAAAGACAAATGAAGCTGCCATGCCTAACCCACCTAGATGACCATGTATGAGTCAAACAATAATTCATATAAACCTATTTCCCCTGTGGATTAAGTCTTAATGACCTCCATTGCTTGCATTTATGTCAACAACATTCAACTATTTCCAAGTCAGATATATTGTTTCTTTTCATGGGAAATTTTTTTCAACCTATTTTTGTGGTTAGAGAGGAACTCATGGAAAAAGTGATCATGTTTTTAATTCAGTAAAACATCACAAATAAATATATTAGTCATTTAATAACTGAGAGTTAACATGTATCAGACATTTTATATACATCCCTTTATTTATATTTATCCTTTCCAGAGTAGATATCATCTTTTCTTTGAATACAAGGAAAGTGGAAGTCTATGTGTCCAAAGTCATATAGAGGGTAAACAAGTATAAATTCAGGTACACTGATATTGATCCTATGTATTTTAATTCTTCTCTCCTGCTTATAAGGACAAATGCAGAAAGAATTTAAGCTGGACACCAGTGGCTCATGCCTGTAATTCTAGCTACTCGGGAGGCAGAGATCAGGAGGATCACAGTATGAAGTCAGCCTGGGCAAACAATTTGCAATACCCTATCTCAAGAACACTCAACACAAAAAAGGAGTGGCTTTTTTGTGGTAGAGTGCCTTCCTGGCAAGCATGAAGCAGAGTTCAAACCTTAGTACCACTAAAAACAAACAAACAAAAAAAACAAAGACCTTAAAAAGTATTCAGCTAATTAGATACTATTTACATGTTTAATAAGCCTGCCTGGAGTTATTAACGATGCTCATTTTACTTATTTGAGGGAACACTTTATGAAGTGATGGTGCTGTTAACTAAAAACATGAATAAAAACAGTCATAAAAAGAGATCTGGCATTATCTCTGCTTCAAAATACTTTTAGAGCAGTAGCTCTGAGAAATTAACCAACTGTTTTGCTTGAGACAGTGGTCTTTCTATGAAGTCCCGATTGGTCTTGAACTCATGGCCCTCCTGACTCAGCCTCTAGAGCTGATGAGATCACAGGCATGCACCACCACACTTAGCAACACTAATAATTTTGACAGAGACAAAACTTCTTCCCTCAGTAAGTTATCCTATTTATATACCCCAACTAGGTAAAATTAATGAGGTTCTGCTAGATTTACCAAATACACTGAGTGTGTGTGTGTGTCTACACACATATATTCTATTAAAGTAAAAACCCAGGTTATTTTCTTGTTTCCTTTAGCTGCTCTCTCTAACCATAAAAGAGGTTCAGTGAATATTTATACTGACAATATTTTTGTTCATTTCAATGTTTTAAAGTTGGATCAATATCCTTAGGTGACTTAAGTAAAATGTAATTTCAGCCAGGTATAGTTGTACACATCTATAATCCCAGCTACCCAAGAGGCAAAGATAGGAGTATCAGGTCCAAGGCCAGCCACAGGCAAAAACCCAAGACCCTGTCTGAAAAATAACTACAGCAAAAAGAGCTAGGGGTATGTCTCAAGGGGTAGAGTGCCTGCCTAGGAAGTACAAGGCCCTGAATTCAAGTATCAGTTCTGCCAAAAAGAAAAAAAAAAGTATATAATTTTACTTATGTAGTTCAACTTATAAAATTAGATCTCTATGCTCTAACAAATATTTTAATGAAAATAAAGAAAAGGAAAAATAAATACAAAAGAGGAAATAAAGAATGATTAAAAGGATCATGATTAATACAAAATGCTCATTTTGGAGTACACTGATTATATTATGGCTTATTTTTAAAAGACATCAGATGATTCTAATGTAAAGATTCCATTAAGAGTAGAGGATAACAGAAAAACTAGAATACCTTTTCAGCTTTTTGGTGCATCAGTTCACTGAAAAGTTCTGTACAATCATTTATAAATTTTTCACTGACTACAACAGTGTCGCTAAAGACTACAGCCAATGCCTGTTTGTTGAATGGTCTCATCACCTGTTGAAGCAACATGGCAGCATCTTCAACTGTTATAGAACTTGGTAGCAGAGGCTAGAATTGCAAACAAAAGAAAGGTGAAGTGAAAAGGCAACATAATACAGATTATTTAACATCTGTAAAAAATACACCCTGAAGTGAGCTCATGAAGTCCAGTGGTTTTCAGACCCATATCTAAGCTGATAACCTCCAACCTACATTTCTGGTTTCACTAGAATCATAGATCCCATTTCCTAATTTCTCTACTTTTAAGTCTAATATGCACTTCAAATTGTCCAATACAACACTGAAACCTACAAATAACGAGTCCCTTCTCTTACAAATCTGCAATCAACCAGTAAGTCTTGAAAAATTTCTTCTAAAGTAAATGTCTTCTTAGCTCTTTCTACTATCTGAATTAATTCATTCTGAGTAAGTATCTCTCCCCAAGTGTCTCTGTTGACACATTCCTAATAGAATGGTGCCTGGCATACAGAGAGCACTTAAAATTTGTTGCATGAATTAAGAAACCAATAAAAATTAATCCCTATCAATGGCAAAACAATTTGTGAACTTTTGTATCCAAAACAGGGTATTATCTAATTTAGAATGAGGTTCTAAACCCTGTCTAGAAAACAATAGATTGGCCTCTTGTTTATCTTCACTTACACTTGTTTTTTCTCACAATGAAGGGCAGGTTAATGTTGAGCACTGAAATAAGACAGTATCAGTGCTAAAGCATCTGATGTTAATGTACCAGTAGAGATTACTGGATACATATGCTACATAATGCCTAATGCTAGTCAGAATTGTACATGCTTGGAAAAGATGTGAAATGCCTCATCAATTTCTGTATCAAAATTGCTATGCATGTTACATTGTTTTTTCTTTGTCTTGAGATTTATAGAATTCAGGATATTAACTGTACACATGTAAAAGGTTAACTGTACACATGTAAAAGGCTAGAAAGTATAAAATTATTAGTTATTTTTGTTGTAACAATGAGTGCTGGAAGTTTCCTCTGATGCCAAGAATGTCTTTATGTATCCTAACTTTTTAAATGGTCAAGTATTAGTAAAATATCACTTGTCATTGGTTTAAAGAAAAATCAAGAAGAAAAAGATAAAACATACTGAAATATCAACCCATGTTCCAGAGCTGATGGCTTCTTCTACAGATGCTTCCACCTGATCCACAAGTCCTTGACCAACACAAGCTGCTTTCAAAAACAAGAGTTGTGTAGTCTTATATCTTTTCTTTATGTAGTTTATAGCATCAGGGATTCCAAGTCTGGACAAAGCATCAAATTCTAGAAATACATCACAAAGATGGGTAGAATTGTTACTCACTCATGCCTTTCAGAAATCTTAGGAAAACGTTAAGTTATACCAAAACCTATTCTTTGATTGTTATGCAGTCTACAAGTTTTGGGAATAAAACACAGAACTGTATCATAGCTAATTCCACAGCTATCTATCTCCCCAAACTTTTATTGTCAAAGATCTTTCTAGAAAAATTGGTTCAAGTACTTCCTGAATACCAGCTGTGTTGCTCTCTGTCCAATTGAAGGGTGAAAAGAAAACATAAGGAATATAGAGCAATAAAAGCAAAAATGGGGGTAGAAGAAGAGGTAATGGTTTAAGTTAAGAAACAAAAACTAGAAGTTATTTTGCTTATTATAGTTAAAGGAATGGAATCTATTTTTCAATGTGATTTTTTTCTTGGTCAAAAGAAACCATTATAATATGATCAATAACAGCAAAGTACATGTGGACTCCAGGGTTAGTACAGTACTTTCTAAGAAAGTTTTGGTATCAGAAAGAAATTTTAGTTTCAAAGAAAAAGTAATAGTTACCCAGATAGCCATTCTGCCTGAAAAAGGAATCCACCCAAGTGCTCTGTGTCCTGGAATAGATGTCAGGGACAAACACCGCTTTATCCTGTCTTCCACCAACCACATTGCCTCGCAAGCGTCCACTGTTAACAAGCTCCTCAAGTACAGCTTAAAACAGACCCATACAAATACAAATAAAGCTTTAAAAGTAAAGTACTTTATTATTTCATACTACCCCTGTTTGTTACCCTTTAAAAGGCTAATTTGAAATTCAAGTAGCATAAATAAAATTATTATACTTTAAACAAACTTTTCCTGCCATTTATGAGAACACTCAGGTTATAAATTCAGGGAAATTTTGGCAATTACCTAAAGATGTTGAACTTGTAACAAACTAGTTATATTAACATACTGAATTTTTTAGTTTCAGTAACTGTGAACAAAAACCCAGCATGCTATTATTTCACAGATTGTTTTAAAGTGAACACTTTGAGAACAGATAATATTCAATCACTAGCTTTACAAGTTCTATTTTCTGTTACTTAGAAAAATCAAGACACCTGGACCATATTGGATCAGCAGTGTGAAATAAAGCTCTGAACATTTTTTATTATTACACTTCTACTGTTTGACCTGAAGCTATACATTTTAGTTATACCTACATGAGAAAGACAGTGCTATGGGTAAGGTTCTGGAGTTCAAATGCCTAAGCCTAAACCTCAATTCGGAAACCTACAAAAATACTGGGCAAGTCTTTTCCCAAGTCCTTATTTTCTTATCTGTGAAATGGGAACACTACCAACTATCATATGGTTGCTTTATTCAAGTAAAGTGCTTGAAACTGCATTTGGCATAGAATGAGCACTAAATAAATATTAACTAAATATTATGATCATCATCACCACCTGGGGCCAATGTGAAAACTGGTTAATGCTACAGTTAATATACATTTATGCTTTTTATTTAAATCACAAGATTTAACTGAACATTTAGTCCATTTAACTTATCAAAATTCCATAAAAGCACAAAAATAGAAGGGAGCTATTCCTAAGTAAATCAGTAAGCACAATCAAAAGATGTGTGGCACAGAAGGGTTTATTTAAATTAGCTTTTAACGGAAATAAAAATTACCTCAGTATAAATTTCAGAATTTCAATCCTGAGTAAATTAGAATACATAAGAAAAGTCCATATTTCTAAACAGACAGCAATACGTGATTCTCAAATTAGTGACTATAAAGATCCATTCCACATTTTCAAAAAAGTTGTCAAGTTATCATTTATTACTTGAAGAATGTTACATTATATGAAATTATACCAACCCTCCATTCTACAGATCCCAGATACAACATAGTTTTAAATCTGTCTTATAATTTTAGGGCTGGTGGAGTGGCTCTCATAGTAGAGTGACTGCCTAGTAAGCATAAGGCCCTGATTTCAAACCCCAGTGCAACAAGAAAAAAATTTTTTAAATAGAAAATTCATATTCTGAAAAATGTAGTGAATGAAAATTAATTTTTAGTTCTATATCTTGAATTTCTTTTCCATTCTTAATTTTAATCTTTGTATTTGCACAGATATCTTGGTCAAAAGATTAAGTCATTAGTTTAAAAAAATACCTAGCAACACATTTAAAAGAAACCCTCAAAATCTCCTAAGAACTTCACAAACACACACATAAAATAGACAATAAAATAAGACTATTCTGGAGGTAACAGTAAGTCATATGAGAGTTAAGAATTCAGGGATTTTTTTATTGTTATAAACTCCTTGTAACAATTTTGTTAGGGAACATGATTCACTTTCATGTTAGAAATATAGTAAAAATCCCTAGGAAACAAAGTAAAGAGAATTCTTAATCCTACAATTTTAACTCTATGTATATGCACAACAGTTTATATGTATATATATATATATATATACATATTTTCATTTTATACACACAATTATATATATGTAATGTAGTGTAATTTTTTTCATTCCACTCTTCTGGAGATACCTAATACTTAATATTTGGTAGGTACACCAAATAGATGCATGTATGAAAACTCTTAACACAGAAACTTTTTTTAAACAGGCAATTTTTAGGAACATTAAGTTTTAAAATTAAGTTGAAGCCAGACCAGGCAAATAGTTCATGAGAACCTATCTTGAAAAAAATCCATCACAAAAAAGGCTGGTGGAGTGGCTCAGTGTACGCCCTAAGTTCAAATCTCTGTACCACAAAAGAAAAAAAAAAAATAGGAAAGAAAAAAATTAATTGAAAGAGTAAAAGACATTAAAATGATTAAGCTTTGAAATAACAGTTTATCAAGCAGTGCTATAGTGTAGATGCTGGCTGTTCCCTAAAGGTTCATGTATTAAAGGCTTGGTCCCCAGGGAGGTGGAGTTTTTAGGAATTGGGGCCTAATGGGAGGCCCTTAGGTCACTAGGGGTATGTCCTTGAAGGGGACTGTGTGACCCCAACCTCTTTCTCTCTGTTTTTGCTCCATGGTTCCTAATATAAACAGTTTTATTCTGCCACAGGCTCCCTATATTTGTCATCCTGCAATGACCACCAGAGACTCAAAGCAATGAGTATACCCCATCTTGAACTGGAATTCCAAAAATGTGAGGCAAAAATAAACCTTTTCTCTCTCTGTTTCTGTCTCTCTCTCTTTTTTTCCCCCAGCACTGGGAACTGAGGATCGAAACCAGGAACTTCCACATGCACACATACTAGGCAAGCACTCTTCCACTGACTGAGCTACACCCCCAGCCTGAAGGATATATAATTTAAATAAAACTTACAGTAAAGAAGCTGTTCCTGAAATCCATATTTTGAAATCAAAGAATTCACTGCTGTGGGCCTGTATGGAAAGTTAAAACAAGAAAAAGGTTGAAACTGATTCACTATGTACTTATATATGAATTTTAAAAAATAAGTAGGAGAATAAGGGTTGATGAAAAACACCAAGTAATTTAAAAGAAAAAAAATGACAACAAAACACTTACCAAATTATAAATCCCCAATCAGAATTATGCTATTGAAACACCAGGAAAATTAAATCTAACATCACACTCCAGGATCAAATTATAATATGATTCCATCAAATTTTCACTTCAGATTTCTGTAACACTTGACTTTGTTTTGCCTTTTACTGTATAGTCATCCCTTGGCACAGATGAGACATTGGTTCCAGGATTGCCCTCTATCCACAGTAAAATCTATGAATGCTCAAATCTCTTACATAAAATGGTATAGTATTTTCCTATAACTTGCATACCTTAAATCACCTCTAGATTATTTATAATTCCTAGTACAATGTATTACAAATGGTTGCAATTCTGAATTGTTTAGGAAATAATGAGAAAAAAGGGCTGTACATAATTGGTTTAGATCCAGTGTTTTTCCTGAATATTTTCAGTGCATGGATGAATCCATGGATATGGAACCCAGCTAAGGAGGGCAAACTGTAATTGTTTTACTTCATTCTGTTCTTTCTGTCTGAGAGGCTCTTTCCTCACTTGGGAATATTCAAATGAGTGCTACATCATTCCATTTTTGAAGAAAAATGAGACCATAGAAGTACTCAGAGATATTTGAGATATATTTCTACACTGAAGTGCATGGCTGACAGGGATCTATTTAAAATGTTCTTTTTTATCTATCAGTATTTTCTGTAACGACTATATAGATCTAAGGCATTTTAATGTAGTGTAATTTATGTATAAAAAATTCACTTGATTTTAAGCGTACAATTCAATGATCATAATAAAGTTTACAGATTTGTGTAACAAATCACTACAATGCAGCTTCAGGACACCTCTATTACCCAAAAAGTTCCTTGACTTTTGCTATTTCTAGATCCAGAAAATCATTTGTTTTCTGCCTCTATAAATTCATCTTTCTAGATATTCCACATAGATGGATTCAATAAGTGGTCTCCTATATATCTTTTGCATAGATGATGCTTTTGATGAAGTATGTATCAGTAGTGCACTCCTTTATACTGTTGAACAGCACTCCATTACACAGGTGTACCACATTTTATTCATATATTCATCAGTTGATACATTCAGATTGTTTCCAGTTTGAGCCTATTATAAATAACGTTCCAACGAACATCAGTGTTCGTGTCTTTGTGTGAGCATATTTGTGTGAGAGGGATGCTGGGGATTGATTTCAGGGCTTTGAGTATGCAAAGCAGGCAATCTACCATTGGGCTATATCCCTAACCCTGAATGTATGTTTTTATTTCTACTGGGGAAATTCTTATGAGTGTATTTGTTTACTATAATTTTTGTTCCTATTCACTTTAAGTCAAGGTTGGTCTATGTTTTTACTTTTATGCATATAATTAAAAGATTTTTAAGTAATTCCAACTTTTTAGTCCTCTACTGATTATTTAGAATCATGCAATTTTTTCTGTAACAAACTTGGGAAAGCAAAAACAATTATCTAAAAATGAACTGAATATTCAAAACTTAGGGATATTTAAAACTTACTTAGCAACTTTCAACTAAATTATTATTTTTTAACTTTTTTTGTGTGTGGATCAATTTGTTATTTTTCTTCTTTTTTTGTGATACTAGGGTTTGAACTCAGAGCCTTGAACTTGCTAGACAAGTACTCTATCACTTGAACCATGCCACCAGCCCTCAATTTATTAAATTGTTCTAGCCAAAATTTTCAGCCAAATTATCTAGAAATCCTAAACTACCTAAGTATATCCAGATGTTTCATGAGGTCTGCATATTATTGATATTACAGCAATAATTACAACCTTCTCATATTTTACTTGTATGTTTTCTTTCCTTTTACGTAAATGCATCCTTACAAAAGGTAGAAGGTTCCTTAAAGGAAGTTTAAAAAATAAAATGTTCTCTTGCAACTTATACAGAAATTTAAGTTATTTAAATATAAAAAAGAAAGAAGGAAGAAAATTATCCTATTTTGACTATAAGCTCTCCTTTCTGGTCTTCTAGTCTTTTGTACCCCTACCTAGTGCCTCGCATGTATTAGGTGCTCACTGAATGTCTACTGATTTGTTAAGTGACAAAAGCATCACTATCATGGCCATGTTAAAAAACAAAAAAAAACAGGATTTAAACTAACTGGAGTTAATTCTGCTGTAACTCAAATAAAAAAAAGATTAAAAAATACCCATTAAATTTAGAATCCACACAGGTGGCTGAGAAGTGACAAAAAAATCAGAAAGCTGAGACAGTAAATGTAGACCTCAGTCTAGAGAAGGTTCCATTGAAGGAAAGAAACAATCAGAACAGTACATGAAATAGAACACAGGGTTCAGAATTTGTGTTAAAACAAGAGAAATTTGGACATTTCAAATGCTGGTGGGACACAAACCCACTGAAATGAAGTCAGTGTCACAGAAGAGAGGTGATAACTGAGAATGTAGGTTTGCTGAATTTTATACTATAGTTTTTCATTTAGAGCCAAACACTTCAGAAATTCTTCTTAGAAAAGTAGCTTTTATTTTAGAAAAATTTTCTTTTTTAGAAAAGTAACATTCACATTCATTAGAATTGTAGACTCTTACTTGGTTAAAAAAAAAAAAATCACCTAAAAATCATCCAGCTCTAGGCTAAGTCCAAAGAAGTTAGGTGACTTACATAGCTACTCAAAGTCATATAGTTGCTATGTGGTAAGAGCTATGAATGCAAATTCTTCTATTAACTGCAAGGTCTTTGCAAGACTTTAATATACTGATCTGGGAAGACTTACTAAACTGCATTCTGCAGAAGTACATATGGTATCATAAGAGTGGTGAAGATAGGGAGGAGAAGGAGACAGGAACTACATTGTGGGACTCTGGTATACCCATTCACAGAAAATCCCTTTCTATATGTTCAACAAACTGGGGTCCACAATGAGGTTTGTTTTTAAAAAGATTCAAGTGTTAGGAAAAAGATGAAAACCATGCCAAAGTAAGATACAAGTCTATATGCTTCAAAACACACTTACCGGGTAACTGCACTGAATAGACCTCGGATGCGTGCTTTATGGCGAGCCACAAAAGCTTCAGTAAAAATTACTCCTCTGTTATCAAGATCAATATGGCCATTGATAATCCTACCAAGTCGCTGAGTCAGTGCCTGGGGATAGAAATGTAAATTTTTATTAATTTTAAAGAAATATATGCATTTTTATAGTCCTATTCAATTCATGCTGCATGCTGATGTATTGATCACTTAACTGAGAAATTTCAACATAAATCATAAAATATATGAGCTTAAAATGAAGACTCAGGATCTAGGATACTTCATCATCTCATAGCAGAGCCAAGAAATGAGTCAAATTACTTATATGCTAAAAGGCTTAGCTACCATAATAGCTCTTGCTCATAGCTCTATTTCTAAAGTGAAATAAAATGACTGACTAACCACTTTTCTAGATATAGGCAGCTTCCAGTACATAGAGAGCCAAGACATACATATATGGGTCTCAGGGAAAACCCGATCTACAGCTTCAAGCACTAACACAGAGGAAAAATGTTATTTCAAAGTTAGCGAAATATAAGACCTGAATATGATCTTCTCTGACACAAACATAAACAAGTTATCTCTCCAGATTTAAACTGGCAGATGATATGGTTTCTTGGTAGCCTGCTTTCAAACTTGAGAAAGTATTTCTCCCTAGCTATACTTGTGGTAAGGTACATGTGAAATAAGTCTAGACATACTTCATATCCCAAAATAAATTAGATCTACTCAAATCAGTAGGTTGATATGGAAAAATGTTTTCAAACTTAATGAGCTTTTAGAATACTTCTTATAATATTCTGAAAATTACTGTGTTCTCTAAAAATAGTTAAGAGGTATGTATTTCCAAAAAGTATTTAGGAACACAGTTTTATAAGAAATCATTTTAAACTGAACCTGATATTTTAAAAAAAGTGTTTTAAAATATACTGTTTGATGTTCTGTATTAAGTATATACTAATATATATACTCATGTAAAATGTTAAGGACTTAGGCTCCTAAAACAGTATGAAAAAGATCTATACTCTGAATGGCAACCAGGGAAGCTCATTCTCTTAATATGGGTGAGTAAATCTGAATTACAAATTAATCTCATGTGATTATGGTTTGGCAAGTTTTGTAAGTTGGATTTTTCTTAAAGTGATTTATATATAAAATGAGATTTGGCTTTTCCCTTATTTCATTACATACAGAACAAAACCATAATTGAGTGCCTCTATTATGCCAGACATTTCACTATACCTCACTGAATGAAGCCCAAGAAGGAGATGCAATTACTCTTACTTTACAGATATATAACTTGAGGCACAAAAGAGAGGAAATATTCTTCCTAATGTCAAATAAATGAGAAGTAGCACAGACAGGATTCAAATTACAGTCTGTTTAACAACAAAGCCCATGAACTTTCCACTGCATCAGAGAGATTTCTATGATTCTAAAATTTTAAACTACTTTAAAAATAGAAAAGAACAAGGAAACACCTCTGCTTTCAGGTAATATTGTTACTATATTATAAATCAAGATATTTGTTTTGAGTATTAGCATAAGCACCTAAGGTTAAGAGAATACATGAGATTCCTTGGTTTTTCTTCCTGTCATTGAGAGGGGAAAACAGATGACATCAGAAGACATGGCACTATTGACATTTTTGATATTCTCTATTGTTACAATCTTTGCTAGTTATTTCTTAAAATATAGCTGGGCAACTGGAACTTTAGGTAGCTTGGCTAAAGTATTCTGTACAGCTGATATGGGAGCATTAAATAAATCAAAGCACCATGGTACACATGCTGTTGTATCAAGACAGTTGCAGAACTTACTCTATTAGTTGATTTAGGGTATGTTGTGGCTCAAGAGAATTGTAATCATTTTAAACAGCTCCTCAGAGTCATCAAGGTATACTAAGTACCCTCAAAATATAATGTTACAGCGTATATCAAATCATATACTTATAATAAATCACTTGATGATAAGAAAGCCTCAATATTAAGATTCTTTGTTTAACCTAAAAAACTAGCTAGCATTTGTTGCCCTTAATGCAGAGAAACTAAAGCAGATACCTTAAAGCAACTGAGGCCAATAGGAAAAGGGGACCAGGAACTAGAGAAAAGGTTAGATCAAAAAGAATTAACCTAGAAGGTAACACCCACGCACAGGAAATCAATGTGAGTCAATGCCCTGTATAGCTATCCTTATCTCAACCAGCAAAACCCCTTGTTCCTTCCTATTATTGCTTATACTCTCTCTACAACAAAATTAGAGATAAGGGCAAAATAGTTTCTGCTGGGTATTGAGGGGGGGGAGCGGGAGGGGGGGGAGTGGGTGGTAAGGGAGGGGGTGGGGGCAGGGGGGAGAAATGAACCAAGCCTTGTATGCACATATGAATAATAAAAATGAAAAAAACAAACAAACAAACAAACAAAAAAAAAGATTCTTTGTTTAAAATTCTTTATTAAAGGAGTAGAGCTTCTCTGCTCTGAGTTCGAACATCAGTACTGACAAAAAAAAAAGTACTTAAGCAACAACTTGCTCTAAACCAACATCAAACCCAACTTCATATTCTTTTTTTACACCTAAAGTGCATTTTTACTTTAGGTAAATGATACATCAATAAAACAATGATGCAATTAAACAATTCTTTGTTAAAAAGGCACACTATACTGTTAAGAAAAAATACCTGTGTCAGAAAGTTTCCAGGAAGGTCATAGGTTTTACATAATTCTGATATGGTCACCTGACCACTTTCTTGCAATTTATCATTTACCTCTTCTGCTAATCGATCCAAATAGTTCCTTAGAGGAAAAAAAGAGAAAAAAACAATTTAAAATACTGCAGGAGTAGTTTATGCCTCAAAAGTACTGAATAGGGTACTAGTAGATGATATACAACATTTATTAGTCATAGTCTAAAACTTATTTTTTCCTTATCAATGTAACTAAATGTAGGTTCAATCAAATGATAAAGCTGAGGAATTTTTTCCTACCAATGGAAATTTTATACATTTTTCATTAATATTTTTGGAACAAATTTGCTTTCCAAGTAAAGATCATATAGGAAAAATTGCGAAAGTTTTGTTTTCAATTGGTTTATTAGGAGAAAAAAGTCAAGGTCTATATTATTTATGAGTACATAATTAGCACCCACTTTTTAAGTGGACTGATTCTTATAATGAAAATCAGCACTGTAAGAGCTCTAAACACAATGCCTAATGGGCCAGAAAGAGAGAAAAAGAAACAGAGAGAGAAAGAAGAAAAAGAATTAAGAAAGAAAGACAATAAAGTGCTTCTAAATATTGTACTTACTCATCTATCAGTTGTCCCAATACTAGCTGGACATGCTTTTCTGATTTAACAATGTCACCAATTCTACTTTCAATATGAGTCAGGTCCACATTAATTACCTAGAAAATATACAGAAATCATGTTAGCATTAATTTTGTATTGTTGCTTAAGTTTAAAAGTAAGAAATGTTTAGATCTACACATTTTAAGAAATTACATATTCTTCAGTGAGTTCTGAATTGATTTGAAATACTACTAAAAGCCATGAACAAATAAAAAACTAGGCATACTACTTATTTATTTTTAGTTCTACAAAGTTACATTTTTACTTGCTAGGATAATTTATATTAATATATATTATATTTATATTAGCAGACACTAACCATTTCATGTTTAGTGTAAAGTGTACCTTGGCAATCACATGTGCTATATTTTCTAAAAATATCTTCTATGTTTTTACTATTTCTCCATTATTTCCAGATACTAAAACTGAATAAAAATGAAACTAGTGATTTTTTTTCTCCCAAGATTGCATAAACCTTTTAGTTTTATAAAATGATTAACTACTGCGTTTATATGGCAAAGAATAAGCAAATTAAGAAAGAACAACTTATCAAATCAATTCAATACACTAGGATTTTAAAAACTATACAAAAATATTACAAAAATGACACAAATATTAGTGAATACTTTTTTATTAGCATAAATTAATTGTACAAGGGTTTCACTGTGATATTTCCATACACGCATATAATGTATTTTGATCAAATTTGCCTCTTTTATCACTCTTTCTTAGTTAGGGGATACTTTCAAAGGTAGTGAACAAATTCACAGAATTAAAAATTGAGAAATCAAAATAAAATTATATAAGTCTAAAATTTACCTGTTGTAGATCAACAATGTTTACTCGACCTTTAAAAAGAAGACATTTATTTCAAATTACATGTAAGTATATACCAGCCAGAGTATAAATTCTAAGAGACTTAAGTTCTGATCAGTCCAAGTCCTTCTATAAAGGATGTAGTGCCACAAAAATTTATGTCTACAAATGTAAATCATTCATTATGGCTGAAGCATAGGCAATAATTTATTGTTGAAGTTGTTTTCATACATCAGACCAATTATGAGAATCAACTGATACACAGTTGCCTAGACATATGGAGGTATTCAATTCCCTTCACAACTCAGAACTTATCTACTATGGCTAAACAGATAGTGACAACTAAATTAAGAAGATTTTATTCAATTATTTGAAATTGAAAAGATTTCTATCTATCAGCAAAAATCTGTTAAATATTTCAAAATACAGTTCATATTTTATTAGTACTATGCAAGAAGATAATAAAACACACCAAGGTTACCCTCAATAACTTCTAATAAAGAGTTGTTTCAAGGGCCTGGCCTGGTGGCTTGTATCTGTAATCCCAGCTATTCAGCAGGATCACAGTTCTTAGTCAGCCTGGGCAAAAGTCAGGGAGAACCTAACTCAAAAAGAACAAGCTAGACATGTTAGTTCATTCCCGTAATCCCAGCTATGCAGGAGGTGGAAGCTGGAGGATTACAGCCTGAGGACTGCCCTGAACAAAAATTTGAGATCCTACATTAAAAATACGCTAAAGCAAAAAGGCCTAGAGGGGTGGTTCAAGCACAAGGCCCTGAGTTCAAACTCTAGTACCACCAAAAAAGGAAAACAAAAAAAGGAGCTGTTTCAAGTTGCTTCTCCTTTCATTGAATTGTGCTCAATTTACTTGTTTGCTGATAATATGATATGGGTATAATACCATACTACACTGAGTTACTTAATTTGAAAATAGTTACAAGTGTTTAAAAAAAAAAGCATAGTACACGTGTATGTAAATGGAAAAATGAGATCTGTTGACACTATTCTAGGAATGGGGGTAAAGGGGATAATGGAGAATGATAGAGGAGTGAATTCAACTATGATATATGGTAAGAACTTTTGTAAATGTCACAATATACTCCCAGTACAACAACAACAACAACAACAAAAACCCCAGAAAAATAAAAGAAAGAACAAAGTATAATAATACAGCCTTGTTTTTTGGTTTTTCTTTTTTTGGTGGTGATACTGGGGTTTGAACTCTGGGCCTTATGCTTGCTAGACAGGTTCCCTACCACTTGAGCCATGCCACTCAGCCCTTTTTGCTTTCCTATTTTTTGAATAGAGTCTTGTATTTTGCCAGAGTAGGCCTGGACTGCAGTCCTCCTATTTATGCTTCCAATGTAGCCTGGATGAGAAATGTGTGCCACCACACACAGCTTTTAGTGGCTGAGATAGAGTCTCTCAAACTCTTTGCCAGAGCTGGCCTCGAATGGCATTCCTTCCTTCCTCCTGACTTTTGTCCCAAGTAGCTAGGATTACAGAGGTAAGCCACCATGTCTGGCCAGCCTTAATTTTTGAGAACCTACAATCTTTTTAAAAATCTCTGCTCTCTCCGGGTCATGAAATTAATGAATTATGAAGATAAACAATATACATATAACTGAAAATTATAAAAATACTATTTTGTTAAGTGATAACGCTTGAGTTCATTTAAATTATATGACCATGTGTGGATGAACCTAATAAAAAATAAGGCTGATTACCAAGTTAACAATTGAGAAGAGGGTTACAGCTCAGTGGTAGAGTTTGCCTAGCATGCACCAGGTCCTGGATTTGATCCCCAACACTGAAGGAGAAAAAAAGAAATTATGGAGAAGAATGTCCTATATCCTCCATATAATTAATTACTTAATTATGATTTTCAGGTTTTTTTCCTCCTTTCAAAATTCCAGGGGAGAGAAAGCAGGGAACAAATTACTTACCACCTCGGACGTGTAGCTCATCTCTCATTTCTTTACTAATTTGGGCTGGAGTAATATATTCCTTTCCATCAAGTGTGTGAACTACTTCTAGTTGTTTCTGAGCAATCAATTTATTCACAATCTCAATGCAGTTCCTCTCTGACAACCTGTGGGAAAGAAGAAAAAATTTTAAGAGTGTACTTGATGTACTGGTGCTCAATAAAATTAACACAATATATGACAACAGGCTTTCAAAAAGTTTTAGTAAAGAGTTGCTAACTTACATTACAAAATCACTCTCAGTAGTCTAACAATGCTAATTCTATAAGGTAAAGAACTTGAGAGTAAGCAAGTTTACAACCATAAATAATTTACTTAGTTGATACAAATCGTTTGACTACAGACTTCACGTGTGCTCTCTTCTAGGCCTGCTTCCAGACTTCAAATTTGAATAGAAAATTGAGAACATGAATTTAGGTAGAGAAATCCCTGCCATACACATAATTCATTTTTCATTTAAACAAAATTTTCTTTTAAATTCATGAAGTTGCTGCCCTCACTCCCTCCTTGTGTTCTTCACAAAAGGGAATCTGGCCTTGTAAAACCATAATTGCTACTGTGTGACCCACACACTTACTGTGTCCTAGATTTTGGCTTATGTTTTTGCTTTTTGACTTTGTGTGTGTGTCTATGTTTGTTTTTGTACCTCTCATTGCTACAAAACACAGCAAGGGACTGCTGTCTCTGGGTCCATAAGAAATATCACCGGTAAGAACTAGTTTTCAGATAAAAAGAATTGCATTACTATTTTAATACGTAATGCCTATGTGTGATGTATGTGCAGACACACATATACATAATTCTATAGTTCTACTATGCTGAAGAGGACAGCTGCGTTATTCCAGACACTTCCCCCAGTTTCATGGGTTTGCAGAGGACGTCAGTAGCCTGGAGTCCCTAAAAATGATAGATGGCGTCATGGATCTCCTTAGGTCTATTAAAGTAGGCAAAAACCAAACCAAACCAAAACAAAAAAAACCCCCCAAAACTTAAAGGATTAATATGCTACTTGCACAGTACCATATTTTGGGTTAGGAAGTGGTGTAAACAGGCAAGGCCGCCATAGCGACTCCGTGGCGGGTGGGCGGCGATCAGAGGGACACTAAAGGCATCACCGGGATCAGAGGGACACTTGGCTGGGATCACCCGGCCAAGCTGCAGCCGGGACGGGGCCGAGGGCTCAGCACTCTGAGAATGACGAAGTTAAGAGGCCACAAGAGTGGACAAGGGTTGCGGAAGGAGGTCTGGGTTTCAGGGCCTAAAGTATCAATTCCACGTGTATCCACCCAGGGCCTAACTTGGGCTCCGCAATGGACAGGGAGGGTCCAGCACCTCTGCGTGGCCTCTGCGAACTGCGCCCGCTGGAAGTCAGCCGCCAACCGCCTAATCTCTTCCCAGGCGTCCGCCATCGCGGCTTGTGCACCCAGTTACGGAGGCGTTGCAGACACGTCAGCTCACAGCCTGCGTGAGCGGGGCGGGGCGGACGGGCCGCGCGGAGGGACAACAGACTCCGCCCCCGACGTCGTCGTCAGACGCGCGGCGCGCCGCAGGAGCCGGCCCCGCCCCCATGCGCCAGCCCCGCCCCCTGCCCGGGTGCGTGCTGGGCACCCTAGGAGAGGGGCGGGGCAGGGTGGGGTGGTGCTCAGGGCCGGCAGGAGAGTTAGTAAGGCATTGCTTCATATCCTGTTTCTGCAGAATGATAATTAAAGTAACTGTTTTTATTTTTTCTCTTCTCCATTTGGTTTTTGGAGGTAGGGGCGGGAAAATGTGTCTGTGCCTGCAGTTGGCATGCCCAGTTCTTTCTCTGGCTGTTATTAACTGCTGACTTTTTACTTGCACCCTTAGCGCAGTACCTTTTGAGAGACAGGTGGGACACATTTACTCAAGGTAATCACTGTTTTTTGTTTTGTTTTGTAAAAAAATGAATACATTTGGATATCATACTGATGTGGGATTGCTTTGCAGTGTCCTAGAGCCTTTCGTATTGCTCTTATGGGGAAAATTAGGTACATCAAATGAGGAAGTGTATATGGCTTGCACGGAATTGGGGAAGCAAGGGGATTTTAGTTCTGCTTCTCTACATCGAGATTATTAAAGAGTAGATATTTACCCTGGATTACCTTTCTCTTTTCATTTTACTTTTAAACTCACTCTTCACTTAAAATTTTTTTTTCTCCCCCTTTTAATCAGAAGCCATTTTTATGGAGTTAGTAAAGCAGTTATTTTAGTTCCTTTCCCATCTAAGTTTGTTATTCTGGATAACTCGCATCCGGTGCCTTAAATATATTTGTCTACTAAAGCTCCCGGCTTTATTCAAAACAGAGAGCTCAGTCATAACGCCAGTGGTTCTAGTAGACATCGTTTCAAACAAGCAGAAATACTTATTCATAAAACACCACTGACGCATGGAGTACAGTGTTGGACAAGGCAGACAAGTCTCCCCATAACTAATCGAAAATCAAATGAATTAGATAAAAAAGTAAGTACTTCCAATGAAGTGTGTAACAGTAGTAATTGTATAGTGGTGACCACTTGGCATCTAGACTGTCACCTCCTACATCCTCTGTAGTTGCACACAGGTAGAATAGTTTGTGCCTCCAACCTTTCAAGACTCCATTTTTTGGGGGGATGCTTGTTCCTTTCTTAATTCCCTTTCTTCTTATATTACTTTATAACATATTCTTCCATGGTTTCCCAGCTTAAGTAAAACACTTTAACAAAATCTTTTAACTCCCATGGACAATTATGCTGTATGTTATGTCCCCACAGTTCTTTATTCAGATATCTCTAATAGCAAATAAAATTGTATTGTAATTTATTTACTTACTGCATCTCTTAATAGTGGAGCTCCTAGCATTTAGCATGATAAGTAGTACATAGCACTGACACATTCTGTAAATGTTTGTTAATGTAAATGTTTTGTCAGTATCGATGTTTTGGTGCAGAATTACACTGTAGAACAATAGATTGCTTTTCATGATTATGTTTTCTGGAAACTCCACTATGTCCAGTAAGGTAGTCACAAGTTACATGAGGCTTTTAATTTTTTAATTATTAAATAAAATTGAAAAAATAATCTGTCAGTTGTTTTACCTACATTTCAAGTGTTCAATAGTCATATTGGGGTTATGGATTTTGTATGGAGACAGTATACAAAACATTTTCATCTTTTTTATTTTTATTATCATATTATTGTGCTGAGGGTACATTGTGACATTTATAGAATTTCTTATAATTTATCATAGTTGAATTTGCCCATTTCATTATTCTCCTTTACCTCTCTCTCCTCCATTTCTGGAATAGTTCCAACATGTCTCACTGTTCCATTTTCATACATAAGTACAGAATATTTCCACCATATTCATCCTCCTAACCCTTTCTTTATATCCTCCCCCATCCCACTGGTACAACCCCTGGACAAGACCTGTTTTACCCTCCTGTTCTCCATTTTCATTTTCATCTTTTATCCCAGAAAACTTTATTGTTTAGCTCTGACTGACCTAGACCTTTGATAAGGATTCACATTTATTTAGACTCTGTGATCATGTGACTTAAACTATCTCCACCTAGCAACCACATAGTCCCACTGCATTTTCAGTTACTTTGAGTGAGGAACAATGTTTTGAATGGGGGATGTTTCAGTTTTGGTAACATGACATCACGTAGCAGAGTTTTAAGCAATATAGTGCATGATTGAACTAACAGTAAAAAGCCTAAGTCGTTATTTTATAGGAGATGGAAGATTCCACTGAGGAACAAGCTTTGTGTAGATTTTAGAAATAGAGGTTGTATTCTCTACAAAAATTTTCTAATAGCTGTGGTTTTGTCTGTAAACTGAAGTTGAATTTTGACATATAGATTAGGTGCAGATAACTGGCATTGTCTTCAGTTATGCTAGATACATGACTGATACATTCTCACTCATTTCTAATTTTGTTTTAGTTGGTGCATAAAATGTAAACATTATATGTAATAATAGAATACCATACGATGTTTCAATACATGTATACATTGTGTAACGTTTAAGTCATGCTAATCTGTCTCATCATTCATCTATTAGTTTTTGATGGTAAAAACATTTTTGATGGTAAAAATATTTTTGATGGTAAGCATCTATTAGTTTTGATGGTAAAAACATTCAACATTCTTTCTTCTAGATTTTTAAGGTATAACGTACATAGTTATTATCTATAGTCCTCCTACTGTGTAATAGCACAGCAGAGCTTTTACTCCCATCTACATAGCTTAGTATCCACTGACCAGCCTTTCCCCATCCCTCTCTCTCCCTGTTCTTCCTGGCTTCAGGAACCACATTGCATTCTTATGTTCTGTGGGGTTAATGTATTAAGATCCTACATGTGAATGAGATGATGTAGTACTTGTCCTTCTGAGCTTGGTTTAATGCACTAAACATAAGGATCTCCAGTTCTACCCATGTTGTTGGATTTCAATCTTTTTAGAGATGAATAAGATTCCTTGATGTATACCAACCCACTTTCCTTTATCCATCCATCAGTTAATGGACACTTAGTTTCTTTCCTTTTCTTGGCTATTTTGAACAGTGCCACAATAAACATGAGAGTACAGATGTTGCCACAATATTAAATGTGGAGGTTAATAAAAACTTCTACCTTCTCTAATGTAATGTAATGGGTTCATGGAGTGAGCTTTTTCTCACTCCTGTTACTACTGAACCTATCTGGGCCTAACTGGAGGCAACAGGAGGTGCAGAAAGGACACAGGATAGACAAACAAACAGAAAGTTGGGGCCAGGGTGCTGGGCACTCAGATGGAAATGCACAGCAGCCTTATTGCTTCTTTTCTCTATTATTCTCTTCATTTACTTTGCTTCTTTTCTCTATTATTCTCTTCATTTACTTTGCTTCTTTTCTCTATTTTTATTCTTTAAGGCCTTACTCCTTCACAATTCTTTAAAACCTTACTCCTTACTGTTTACAATTCTTTCCTTAAAACCTTGCTTCTAAAGTCTTCTTTTCTGTTCTTTCAAGTCTCTTTCCTTAGACTGGCTCTGTCCCATGTTTTCTCTTAGCTGTTCTTTAGCTAAGAAAAGTCTTTACCCCCAGACATGAACTGTCCCATGTTCTCTCTTTAGCTTTTCTTAAAGTCTTGGTGCTCAGCCTTGCACTGTCCCATGTTCTCTTTAGGTTTTCTAAAGCCTATGTATAAAGCTCTCAGTGCAGACTTTCTATTGACCCCTCTTTAGCAATTCCCCTTTAGCAATTCTCCTTCAGCAATTCATTTCCCTTCAGCAATTCCCCCCTGTAGCAATCCTCCCTTCAGCAATTCTCCCTTCAGCAATTCTACCTCAGCCATTCATTGTCCCCCTTCAGCAATCTCACTCCAGAACTTTCCCGTCAGCCAAAAACCCCCTATCAAAAAACCTCCCCCATCCAAAAGCCTCCCTTCATGCAAAAGCCTCCTTCAGGGAATCTTTTATGCCCAGTGGTAAACAAGAAGGTGGACGAATAGTTCTTGGGGAGGGCATGACATTATAATGAGGAGCCTGCATTCCTGCTTCTCTGAACATAAACAATTTAGGAAAAGCAGCTGAGCTGCATCTCGCCTTCTCACTCTTTTCTGTGGCTGGGGCTGAGCCAAATCTTAGCCTACAGATTATTTGACATAAATATCTTAGGAAAAACAGCTGCTCTGGATCTTACTCTAACCTTCTTCTGTGGCTGGGGCTGTGCCAATCTCAGCCTGCAGAATATTGAGTACAACTGTGCTTATGTCCTCATAGGCTTCTCCTACTCCACTCCCCACAGGTTCTCTGATACAATAGCAAATGTGATCTTATAAGTTCCACTACCACAAACTTTTTTAAAAAATAAAATTTCAAGCATTATCCCCTTGTCTACTAGAAGAGTAAAATAGTAAAATTTGAAGTATTTTCTCCAACTCAAGTAATGTGCTAATTGGCTTTCCATCACTGTGACAAAATACATGAGATAAACAGTTCAGAGGAAAGATGCATTTTTTGGCTCATGGATTCAGAGATTACAGTCTATGGTGGCTGGCCTCATTGCTTTGGGCTTAGAGCAAAGCAGATCATGGTCACAGAAGTGTGTAGTTCAGAGGCTGCTCCCATTGTGGCAGCTTGGAGGGAAAAGGGAAAGGGAGAAGAAGATTCCAAGGATAAGATATACCCTTCAGTGGTACACCCCCCAATCACACACTTCCGCCAACTAGACTTCACCTCCTAATAACACATTCAGGGCCAGGTATAGAGAAACACACCTATATCCCAGGAGGATAGAGGTTCAAGATCAGCCCCAGTGAAGTTAG